ACGATGGGGAGGAAAAGAACGACCATATCAGTTACACACAGCAGAAGGAGAAGAATTTAAGTACGAAGGAGGTACTATCTATAATGAGACTGCGCCCCTTGAGATAAGCTACCTGAATCGAAAAGAAAGAATCCAATTCGACATTGCCGATCTAGGAACATACGACATAGTGCTAGGACTACCCTGGCTACGAACAAGCAACCCACGGATAGATTGGAGCAAAGGCCAACTCCATTGGGACCATGATGATTCAGTCCCTGAGCAGCCCTGTCAGAATCAGGCCTCAAACGAATCAATACGACAAGGAACAGCAAAACGATACCTCTGTTACCTCAAGGCAAAAGAAGCTGTATCATAACCACTAACAACAATGGATCTTGAACAGAAGAACGATCCACTTCTGTCTATCCCAGAAGAATATAGAGTGTATAAGAAACTCTTTGCAGCCGAATTAGAAACCGGACTGCCTAAACACACCAGTTTCAACCACGAAATACCCCTCAAAAAAGGGAAGGAACCACGCTTTAACAAAATCTACAGACTCAACCAGACAGAGATAGAAGCCCTAGATAAGTACCTTGAAGAAAATCTTAAGAAGGGATATATCAGACCCTCAACGTCACCAGCAGGAAGCCTAATCCTGTTCGTACCCAAAAAGAACAGAAAACTACGATTATGCGTCGATTACCGCATGCTAAACGAAATGACGATTAAGAACTGCTACCCACTACTACTTATCGACAAAATGAGACGACTCCTTCACGGAGCTAACTGGTTCACAGCCCTCGACCTCAAAGGAGCCTATAACCTGATCAGGATGAAGCAAGGAGAAGAATGGAAAACCGCTTTCAGAACCCAAAAAGGACATTTCGAGTACCTCGTCATGCCCTTCAGCCTCACTAACGCCCCTGCAACATTCCAAAATATGATCAACCAAGTTTTACGCAAATATGTCGACATCTGCGTAGTAGTCTATCTCGACAACATCCTCATCTTCTCATTAACACTTGAGAAACATAAGGAAGACGTACACCACGTCTTATAAGCCCTCTAAGAAGCCAAGCTATTAGTTGAACCTGAGAAAAGTGAATTCCACACACAGAAGGTGGAATACCTCGGATTCACTATCACCCCTGGAAAAGTCTGTATGTCAGAAAACAAAGTCAAAGCCATTAAGGAATGGCTGGTACCTAACAACCTCAAGGAAGTCTAAGGATTTCTAGGTTTCGTCAACTTCTACCGCAAATTCATCAAAGACTATAGCAAGATCAACGCAGCTCTCACAAGCCTCAGCCGCAAAGACACGCCCTTTATATGGGAAGAACCACAACAAACAGCATTCCAGAAGATCAAGAACCTCATCGCTAGCGAGCCCGTCTTGAGCATTCCAGATCCAACAAAACAATTCGAAGTAGAACCTGACGCATCCGACTATGCGATAGGAGCATAATTATCTCAATAAGATTCAGAAGGACGACTATACCTGTGTGCCTTCTTTTCCCGCAAGCTCCACGGACCTGAACTCAACTATCAGGTTCACGATAAGGAACTTATGGCAATCATCAAAGCCTTTAAGGAATGGAGACCCAAGCTCTCAGGAACCATATACGAAGTACTTGTGTATTCAGACCACAAGAACCTTTCACACTTCACGACTTCAAAAGTGTTGAATAAACGACAGATTAGATGGTCAGAATTCCTATCAGAATTTAACTTCTGAATCATCCACCGCAAAGGATCAGATAATAGCAGAGCTGACGCTCTCAGCTGACGACCGGACTATAACGTCCTAGTACCTGAAGAAACCCAGGTGATTCTCAAAGGAAACAACGACGGAGACCTAGTGCCAGCAACCAAACTCTTGATGATGGCCGGACGATCTAGTACTAGCCCGCCTAACGAACTAGACGACGAAGCAATTATGGAGTTTCACGCTCGCCCTGCACATGGTCACCAAGGAATCACAAAGACCTGGAAACGACTACGACAACAATATAGAGAAAAGGTCACCAGAGAACGAGTGGCAAAAGCAATTAAGGACTGTGAGGTCTGCCTGAAAAGCAAACCCGCTCGACATCAGCTGTACGGCATGCTATAACCCTTGCCTGTGCTGCAAACCGCCTGGCAATCTATATCCCTCGACTTCATCGTCAAGCTACCGAAGTCTTGAGAACCTCTTATGGGAACACACTATGACAGCGTTCTCGTCATTATGGATCGACTCACGAAGTATGCCTACTTCATCCCGTACAAGGAAGCAAGCAACGCTGAAGAATGCGCCTACATATTTCTCAAGTATATCATCGCCAACCATAGAACACCTAAGGAAATTATATCAGACAGAGACAAGATCTTCACCTCCAACTTTTGGAAATCAATCATGTCACACCTTGGCATCAAACAATTAATGTCCACTGCATTCCACCTGCAGACCGACGGATAAACGGAACGAATTAACTAAATCCTCGAAACTTACCTCTGCGCCTACGTTAACTACAACTAAGACAATTAGGTTGTATTGCTACTAATAGCCTAGTTCGCCTACAACAGCGCAATAGGAGAAAGTACCAAGGAATCCCCCTTCTACCTCAACTATGGATTCGAACTAACCGCCTATGGAGAACCCCAAACAGGCCCAGCTGCAGTGAAAGCTGTCGCCTCAATACGCCAAATCAAGGATATCCAGGAAAACGCACGCAAAGAACTTGAATTCGTATGACAAAGAATGACAAAATTCAGCAACAAACGAAGGATTGAGGGACCAACCTTGAAAGAGGGAGATAGCGCCTATCTCATACGGCGAAACATCAAAACAAAGCGACCAAACGACAAACTTAACTATAAAAAACTCGGACCTTTCAAAATTTCACGAGTAATTTCACCAGTCAACTACGAACTCAGACTCCCAGAAACCATGAAGTGTCACCCAGTATTCCACATCTCACTTCTTAAACCAGCACCACGCGGATCACAGACAAACGATATCATCATCGTGGAAGATAACGAACCAGAATACAAAGTCGAACGAATTATCGATTATCTTAAGGAACCAGAAGGATATCGATACCTCGTCAAATAGAAAGGATATAGACACGAAGACAACATATAGGAACCAGCTAAGAACATCACTAACGCAGCAGAAGAACTCACGATCTACTGGCAATAACACTAAGAACGAGAAGTCACACTAACACCTGCTGTACTAGTCCAGAAGAACGCCAGATATAAGCGAATCAAGCACCCACATCGCTTCACCAAACCACCTATCGAAGCAGATCGACCGCGACAAGGAAAACCATTTATTCGCCTAGGAACACCAGAAACAAGCTAAGACGACACTGAAGCACCACTAGCATCAGACACCAAAGGGCCTAGATCGACAAAGTCCAGACTAAAGCCAAACTCTTGCCACTCTGGATCGTTAGGCACCCCAGCGGCCTGAAGATCGTTCACAACCTACTTCTCATGAGCATCTAACGCTGGAAGCACACCATCCTCCTCGTCGATTTCCTGCATCCCCCGCTCAAAAGCCTCAGTCTGACGCTCTCTCACTAACTTCCTCGTCTTATAAATACGACTTAAGCGGCTAGCAGCCTCCGCTATTTGAGTCTGCAAACGAGCAAACTCCTGATGAAGTGCAAGCAGCTCCTCACCAGCCTTCTCTTCTTTTTCATCCCACTCCTTTTGTTGCTTATTCAACTTTTGCACTACAACACGGTTAGTTATCGCTTGGATAAATTGGGATCAGAAGTCACTATACGAGTTGAAGCCACCAGAACGCCATCATAAGGCTTCTTCGCCTCGATGCACGTACGACACCTAGACGATTTCTCACTAAAACGGCAAGGAACCTTTGCTCGAAAACAATGGGTACAAGGCATGTCGCTAGCCAAAGAACGAGACTCGACGTATTCAATCAAAGCTTCGCGCTCACGATCCTTGAGCGCAGTGACGACCGATTTCTTTTTCGATTTTTGGACGTGGCCTGACATGGTGTCAGCATTATGAGTAAATCAGGAAGCACGATTGACGGATCCCCAACCTGGGACCAACGACCTACTTATGTTAGGTCTTGAGGATAAGACCTTTAGAGAGGGGACCTGATGTTACGACCCGTTATGTATGGATAACAGTTGACCGACCCACTTAGGCATCGGGCGGCTAGGATAAGACATTTGTACTGCAGGATCACAGGAACAACAGGGACTCACTCGGAAACGGAAGAACTATGGTACAGGTCACGTGACGATAAGAAGGACCGACGAGAGATAAGCGGTCCTGATCTAGGACCGACATGAAGAAAGCGGTCCACACCCGGGGACCGCTCGGAAGACATCGGTCCTCAGTTGAAAGAAACTACTTAGACTTGTATATAGCATGACCCTGAGCCTGGCTCATGGTCAAACTTCTATAGCTCTTCAGCAATCAACTTAGTATTCATCCTCACGGATACTCTCAGCTTACCTTCACTGCGAATCACTTGTTCAGTCTAAGACTGATCACCTTAGCCTCTGAAGACCCGATCTACTACAAGCCTACGAACTACGACCAACGACCACGACCTAGTGTACTGTTAGAACGTATCAATCCCCAGCTTCTGTTAGCAGACCCTACTGTCGGATAGCTGACCGTAACAATATGCAGCAAACAGCAAACCACCCTTAGCTGATCTAGGTAGAAGCCAGAGTAGAATAGCCGCCAATGTGGTCCCTAGTTATGCCCCAAAGATAACCCATGTCCGACAATTCTTGAATTTGTATGCAACGTATGGCATGACCAGTTGCACTATACCTCCATATGCACCTGCAGGCATCGTAAGCAGGAGCGAATTAAGAGTACTAAATCCAAAGCCGTTGATGATGATAGGGACAAAAGTCGATATAGGACCATTTGCAATCATGCAAAGAAATGCCACCGCAAATACAAGCCAGAACCTCATATCTAGCGCGAGTTCCCTAACTTGGTCCATCTTGTAGTGGGTGTTTCGCACACCAGAGTTGTTACTCCCTGAGGCGGGCAATAAGTATGCAACGCTCTCTTTCGTTAAAGCCTTTAGCTCTAATGGGGTCGACAGGCAGGAGGAAGTAGAGAAGAAGACCCCAGGCAATAGTCAGGGAGCTAGCAAAGTAAAACATATATCCCCAAGAAGAGACGCCTCCATTAAGCTTGCCGAATCCATAGTTAATAAGAGGAGAGAAGATAGAAACGTATCCGGTGCAACTGTACCAAATGCTACTCACTAGATTAGTTGCCCAAAGATGAAGATTGGCTGCAGTTCCGTAGTTTGCTTACCCCATGCGCATTGCCTGTTCATTCTTCTTATAAAAGCTCCCAACGATCAACATGAACATAGGGGAGATCCCGGATTCCAGCAAACCAAGGCAAAATCGCTGAACGTACAAGCCACGGTAGTCTGAGCATGATGTAGTCAAGATGAGGCACAAGCCCCAAAGAGTGACTATGACTGACGCGACCTTTTCCACTGGAATCTTCTGTACTAAGATCATAGCAGGATAGGCGCCAGCAATAAAACCGAGGTAGAAAATACAAGCGGACCATGAGTAGCTATCGCTAACAGTGAGGTCCAAATCGGTTCTAAGCCCAAACAGAGCCTGCAAAAAACGGTATTAGCTAATTGGGAAACTGCTTCGAAGTGGATATAAACTTACCGCTTGGGAAAGCATTGCTTTGTCGTAGTATTGTAAACCGTACGTCAGACAAAGGACAGGCATAAGTTTCCAGTCTACTTTATGACGCAGCTTGGATTTCTCTGTTTCCGCCCAACCACGGTCGCCTGTGTATCTGTCGAGAATTTTCATCGCTTCGTCGTGGTGAAGCGTGTCGACTGCAGCAATTGGCTTCGGGTCTGTAGCAACCTCAGGCCGCTCCACTTGCTGGACATTTTCAGCAGATTTGGTAGTGTCGGACATGGTTGATGCAGGTTGAAAACTAGCTAGAGCAAGACAAATTAGAAACCTGGAGCAGGAAAAAGGCAGAGTAAAAGGAAGTCACATCTTTCCAGTATGTTTGTTTTGTATAGGAAAGCCGAGCTACCCAAGTTTTCTCTATGAGCAGGATGGGTCGGGAGATTGAACCGGTCAATTGGGAAGGTCGAACGCATGCAGGCACAGGGAGGCATTCCCTGGTGGGATGGGTCCGGGCAACTTAGGCTCAAAGAGTCGAAAGTCGTCTGGTACTTCGTGAAAACGTAGTGTTGCGGCAATCCTAAAGGAGAAGACGATCAGAGTGGAGCTAACATCTGCACCATTTGTGGGTAGCCGGACGGTCCCCGCGTCCACCACCCCGCAACGTTGAGGTTGCTAGCCAGCGACCAGGGCGAGGTTCATTCCTCGCACTCCAAAATTATGCGACCACTTCATATCAAGGACACAATTGATAAAGAAGCTTCTTTCATAATAACATTTGACAGACCACGGCTAGAGAGTCACTTGTTCTAGCTGAAGATTCTCTTTGAATTGGTGCTTTTTGTCTCAGAACCTTGTCGTCCTCAGTCCAGTTGCCTCAGGGGAAAATCGCAATTGCAGTGAAGATGATCAATCCAGTCAACTTTGGACCGGCAATCATCAAACGCTTCATGGCACCCGACGTGCCAGGCCTTGAAACGTTCAAGACATCGCCATCGCTATGTTTCCTTCTAGAGCATCCTTCAGGACGCAAGTTGATGTGGGACTTGGGGATTAGAAAAGACTACTGCAACTACGCACCGTCCATCGCTAATTATTTACCATCAACAAGGTACAAGATTGAGATTACAAAGAATGTCGTGGACATACTTAGAGAGAATGATGTTTCACCACATGATATAGAAGGAATAATATGGAGGTAGGCATTAAATACCCGGGGCACTGACGCTACCTCATGTCCAGAACACCACACTTACTATCAGCAACACAGCCACTGGCACTGGGATCATATAGGCGACCCGTTAACTTTTCCTGTGACTACGGATTTAATTGTCGGGCCTGGATTCAAAGATGCGATGCTTCCCGGGGCCCCTGCAAATCCTGAATCTCCTATTCTTGAAATGGATTATGTGTAAGTTTATCTACTCCAGAGTTGATTCTTATATAGGCTGATGAAATTTCATCAAGCGGTCGAACATTAAGAGAGATCTCTTTCGAAGGGACCCAGACCCTCCGCATTGGGGGTTTTCTGGCCTTTGATTACTTTGGCGATGGCTCTTTCTACGTCCTGGACAGCCCAGGACATGCTATTGGACACTTATGTGGCCTTGCTCGAACCACCCCAGATACTTTCATACTTCTCGGCGGTGACATTTGTCATTATGCGGGAATATTCAGGCCTTCGAAATATCTGCCGATTCCTCACTCAATATCACCACATCCTTGCAGACCCCAAGAAAGGTCTTCGCTATGCCCTGGGAACGCATGGGAAGAACTCCAGACATCCAGAGGAGGACAGCAAACGGATGCGCTTTTTGACGCAACGTTTGGACTGAACCTGCCGCAAGCCAAAAGGACTGTCGAACATCTCCAAGAGCTAGATTGCAACGAGAACGTGCTCGTTATAGTCGCACATGACTCCACTGTTCTGGACTGTATGCCTCAATTCCCGGCGAGTCTCAATGATTGGAAGATTGAAGGCTGGGGGCAGAGAGTAAGGTGGGCCTTTCTCCGCGATCTCGAATCATATTGGAGATTGAAAGGACTTTAAAATCAGCGATATGGCGATGGTATTTAAGAATTAGGCATGCCATAAACTGTCAGATTCTGAAACTCGAAGAAATTGCTGTGTTTTCTACCTTCGCCAACTCATAGAATAATAAGTCCCTGGACCAAAAAGATCATTGAACGGACGTGTCTTTGTCATGAATATGCAGACCCATGACATATAGTTACAGCTAGCTCAATGGACAGAGTTTGTGCGTTCCATTACACCATAGCCCACGTTGAACCTTCCGGCATAGACATTTTCAGGAAAGCCGAGGTCAATCTGGTTTGCCGAACCTTTGCCCTCGACGAGTCAAAATCGGCAACCAGCTGAACCCGCACACCCCCTCTCCGGTCCGCAATTTGGCCTGTACGTCGGCAGTTCAATACTGGACCCCAATGCAGACTCTCCATGCTGGCTGAATCATTGTAATAATAATCCGCCAACTTTCTGCATGATATAACTTTTTCAGACGCATTCATGACAGCTGGTCTTTTCCGATGCTAATGAACAGTCCACTGTCCACCTCCCACCAAAGCAATGTCGCAAGTTAATGAAACCTGTGCCAGTAATTCTGGTCCATCAACATTCGACACCGCTGATGAGAACCTGGATTATGACGTCTTGATTATTGGGTGCGGATTAAGCGGCATATTCTCACTGCATAGGGTCAGAGAGCTTGGTTTGAGAGTCAAGGCCCTTGAAGCTGGCTCAGCTGAAGGTGGGACATGGTTTTGGTATGCTCTATTTTGAAGTTGAATTGTAGCTGTCACGCTAACGGATTCGCAGGAATCGATACCCTGGAGCTCGGTTTGACTCTGAGAGTTACTCATACATATTTTCGTTTTCACAGGAGGTTCTTGACGAATGGGATTGGACAGAGCACTTTGCGCCACAAACGGAGACCCTTCGCTACATTCAGTACCTTACGAACAAATTTGACTTAAAGAAGGACATGCAGTTTAATACGCGCATCCAATCAGCCCACTTTCAGCAATCCTCTAGCTCATGGCTACTAGTCGACTCTACTGGAAAGACTTACACCAGTCGTTATCTGGTAACTGCGATGGGTATTTTGAATGAGCCAACGCTGCCCAATATCCCTGGTGTTGGTGATTACAAAGGAGAAGCCTGGCACACAGCTCATTGGCCTAATGGAAAGGCCAGTCTTCAAGGCAAGCGGGTAGCCATCATCGGTACCGGAGCAACAGCCATCCAGACCATTCAGGAAATCGTCAAGACTGTTGGTTCTTTGACCGTCGCGATATCCGCAGATTTTTCGGCAATGCCTCGACTCGTACTCTTGCTTCATTCATGTTGGAGACACCAAAAGCGTCTTTGACAAGGGGGATGAAGAGCGCACTAAAAGCTGGGAGGAGCTTTATGCACTTCCTGGATTTGCTAAAGTGCTGGGGATCTCAGGTGATATCTATACCAACCGAGAAGCCAACAAACTTTACAGCGACTTCATAGCCAACAAGATTCGTCAACGAGTTGACGATCCAAAGGTAGCTGAAAAGTTGATACCGAGAAATCATGGCTTTGGAACCCGTCGAGTACCCTTGGAGAGTGGCTACTATGAAGCTTTCAATCTATCAAACGTTCGACTTGTGGACTTGACTGAAGATCCGATTGAGAGAATAACAGAAAAAGGCATACGGACGAGAGCAGAGGACCTTGAATTCGACGTCATCATTTATGCAACCGGCTTTGATGCTGTCACTGGATCCTTTCGGGCGGTGGACTTTCGGGGCATTGACGGCACTCAGCTTCATGACGTTTGGAGTGAAGGCATTCAAACTTATCTGGGACTGCCCGTGAAAGGATTTCCCAACATGTTTATGATCGTGGGCCCACATCAGATGTTTGGCAACATCCCTCGAAGCATCGAATACGCCGTCGAATGGGTTTCAGACTTTATTCGGTATGCGCGAGATAACAGCATTACCTCTGTCGAAGCTACTGACGATGGAATGCGCATGTGGACAGAGAGCATGTTTGGAAGTGTGGGGAGGGGCTGCTGGCTAATGAGGTGGACTCATGGATGACAGGAGTCAACAAAAATTTAGCACACAAGCAGCAACGGTCCATGACAAGATACAATGGACCGGCACCCGGGTACCGAAAACGATGCGACGAAGTGAAAGCGAGGAAATATTCTGACTTTCTCATACGATAGTTTTCATGCGATCATCAAGGACATAATTTCTCAGACTGGAAGTTTCGAACTTCTGGCTGTTTGGCAACCTCTCAACTCGGGTGAAATATCATGTTTAATTCAGCCCAAAATACAAAGAGCAGAGGCCCATAAACGGATATCCTAGCTCGCAGTGTCCACAGAACTTCAAGCCTCATGGATAACAAAATGTCCAGATGCGGTCGGCTTAGTCAATGCCCACTCGATACCATAGTCAGTCACATTGTCCCAATGTTTCGACTCGGATAGCTTGTCCCCGAATCGGCGAAATCCATGGGGGACTCCTCTGAAGATATGCGTCTCAGTGGGAACTGTGGCGAGACGGATTAGTGGACCTACATTCAGAGGCATAGAGGTTGAACTTACCCTGACTCGGTGAGTAATTTGGCGTACAGTAAACCCTCGTCTCTCAACGGATCCAAGCCAGCAATTCCAAGTGTTGTAGGCGGCATTCCCTTCAATTGCTCCGTGGATGCATTTCCAGGATTGAGCCTGAGATCGTAGTAGTCCGGCTTCTCGATTCTCAACAACCCAACAAACAAATCAATCATCCTCCTGGGAAGGATCGGAGCATTCCCGTTTTCAGCATAGGATGAAACCGCGGGATGCTTGAGTCGCTTCAAATGGCCGTCATAACAGTCCGGATTAACCAGACAAGGAATGATCAATACTTGGCCGGCAATTAGAGGGAGTTCTTTGCCAAAATGACCAAGATGCTGGGATAGGGTGAGAGATGCGGTCAACTGGCCCCCGGCAGAAATACCGCCCACGACTACCTTCTCGGGACAGCCGCCGATCTCGGCGATGTTTGCATGCAGCCACTGAAACCCGTCCTCAACGTCATTCCAAGCTGTTGGGTAGATGAAGTCAGGTGTATGACGATAATTCACGCTGACCACCAAGACGCTTGTGCTTATAGCAATTCGAGAGCAGGCAGCGTCCTCTGAGTTGATCGTACCAAAGAGAAAGCCCCCTCCGTGTAGGTAAAGGTAAACAGGCAACGGGCCCTCACCTGCTGCCTTCGGGCGGTAACTTCGCCCTTCAATAGTAGATCCATCACGAGTTGGGATTGTCCAGTTCTGTACAATAACGTGGCCTGCCATCGTTTTCATTGCCTCAAGGGACATCTCTTCGCGTACTTTATTGGTGGTGCTCTTGCGTTCTGCCACAGATAGCTCGGCCGGTGCGGGTGGTAAGCCTGCTTCCACCGCAAGCCACTCGTCGCTCGGGCCACCGTATTGAGAAAAGTCGCACAATGTATATCCAAGCGTTCTTTCAGCTCCTTTCCTAGTATACGATGCAGATGCTGGGGGAAGCAGCACCTGCTCCAATGTAAGATTCTCACAAGGCTTTTTAAAAGGCTGAAGTGGATGGAAGCAAGACTTGAGAAGTGAACGCGATGTTAGCTGTGATCATCAAAACAGAATTGATCTTTGGCGTTAATCGAAGCCCCGTCAATGGCCCGTTGTTCGGTCCTCCTCTCCTAGTCACCGGCGGAAAGAGGGGTAAATCGACTGGCTTCGTCATTGGTCGCGGGAAGCAGCTTCCGAGAGAGCTTACATCAGCCATAGAAGCATCTGTGCCTCTACAAACCTCGGCTTTGCTTTGCGGAACCGAGCATGCCGTGGGCTCCAGGCTTTCCAAAATCGGTAATCCGGAATGCCGATTAAGTATCGCAATGTCACAAATCCGATATGTTACATGAAGTCGATGGTATCAAGAACTGACTTCAGCCGACGATTTTGATTGTGATTAGCAACAATCGCAACCCTCTTCCCCTGTTATATTAGCTTCCCTGCAGAGATTGAGACCATGTCGGAAATTTCAGTCAACCCTCCCTCACGTTCGTTCAATGGGAAGGTCGCTATAGTCACAGGTGCAGGTTGCGCGGGAGATGGGATCGGGAACGGTCGCGCAATATCCATCTTACTCGCCGACGACGGTTGCAATGTCATTTGTGTTGATCGGGACCTCTCTTGGGCAACCAAGACCTGCGAGATTGCGAACTTAAAGCCCGGCAGAGGGAAGACAATCCCAATACAGGGAGACGTCACATCGTCAACAGACTGCCAAAATGTTGTTCAGCAAGCAATATTCGAGTTTGGTCGACTTGACATTCTCATCAATAATGTGGGTGTTGCCGGTGCATCAGGTACTGCGGTGGAAGTTGATATGGAATAATGGACCAAAAATCTCGACGTCAATGTCTCTAGCATGGTTTTCATGGCCAAATACGCGATTCCTGCTATGCAGAAAAATGAGGGTGAAACCAAGGGGGCAATCGTCAATATGGGCAGTGTCGCGGGATTGAAGGGAGGGACGCCGCACTTGCTCTACCCGACGAGCAAGGGCGCTATCGTAAATATGACACGAGCAATGGCGGCGCATCATGCTGGAGACGGTATTCGTGTCAACTGCGTTTGCCCTGGCGTATGTTCACACACTCCAAGATTCACAACATCTTTGCTAATACTGGTCAGATGTTATATACCCCCATGATGTATGCCGGCGGAATGAGTGGAGAGGCAAGAGCCGCAAGGAGACAGAGAAGCCTTTTAGGCACAGAAGGTAACGGATGGGATGCTGCATGTGCGGTTGTCTTTCTCGCAAGCAATCATGCACGTTGGATGACTGGTGTTATTCTTCCAGTCGATGCTGGAACTACCGCAGCTGTTGGCATTGGAATGGTAAAAGCTGCCAGCGTTAATGGTTAAGATTTCCTTATGATTTTGCAGAAAGGTCAATTTGGAATGATACGATGTTTTCGAAGCTATTCAACCCAGACTTTGCTAGGTACGTCGTGACTGTTTCCCATTAATTCAGTCGTGCAAAAGTGCAATGCGTGCCTTGACTTCGCCTTTCTCCAAACGGCCCAAAACGCGAGGAAAGTCTTTCAGCCTCGCTGTTTCCACACGTGGCTTAATCTTATTGTTAGCAATCAGCTGCAGTACCTCCTCAAGGTCGCTAATCTGCCCTCCATTTGAGAATATATAAGTGAGGCGCTTCCTTGTGCCAATCTTCATGTGCACGGTGTTCTCAGTATCAAGACTGCCAATGCATAGTAATCGCCCCCCGCGACGAACTTCAGGCTTGCTTTAGCGGAGCTCCCAAGTGTAAAAATTTGAGAAAGAATGTAGGTAAAATTTGACTCACCAATTTGCTGTGCGTCTTCGAAAGTTTGGTGAGTACCCACAAAATCCAGGACGGCGTCAATCTTACCAGTCAAGCCCTTGTCTGTGGCGAACTTTTGCACAGGCTCTCCAACTGGAACTAAATCTGACCTTGGAACGCCAATTGCAGCTGCTTCCTCGAGAATTTCCGGCCTGATATCGGACACAACGACTCGTGTCCCAATATCTAGGAGGAGCTGAAGAGCATTGAAACCAAGTCCTCCCAGTCCAAATAAGAAAACTGTCTCGGTCTGCTTGATCTCACCACGCCTGTAGATGGCATGATATGCTGTTGCCACGGCATCTGTGGCTATCGCTGCCACCTCAGGAGATATACCTTTGGGCACATGGGCTAAACCACGGACGTCGATTGCAGCGTAAGGGGCATAGAAGCCATCTTGTCCAATCCCAGAGTGATGACCGACGTCGCAGAGTTGCTGCATGTTGCGAGAGCACTCTGCACAATGGCTTGAGCCACAGCCAGGAACTGCATTCAAAGCAACAACATCGCCCTGTGAAGTTTTATTCCAATTAGCAGACAAGCTAAAGACAACCAGTAGTGAGACTAACGATTTTGAACCGAGTGTCTGTAACTTGATTACCTATCTTTACGATTTGCCCGCAGCCTTCATGACCCTAGAATGCAGTAAGTCATAGGTGATGAATTGGGAAGGGGGTAATTTTCCAATACTAAAGTGAACTTCGGTTGAAACCAGTGAGGTTGTTTGTCAACTGCAAGAAGCGATTGGTCACTCCGACAGACTGTGATTTAGCGCTCCAGTCAACGGGTGGTACTTAAAATGAGAGCAATAGAAAAGGTCTCGCCGCCTGAAGCCAACATCTTGCACAAAACACCATTTTCAAGTGCTTGGGGCACAGGAACTTCTTCCCAAACCTGATCCACTGTTAGCCCTCAGTTTGACACCGTATAGTAGGCGGGTTTAGTTACTGGCTGTGGCTTTCCTCTATGCTTACGCCAAGCCATCATTGTGGGAGGGATCAAACTTGTCATTGTTGCTAGACGTGTATTGTCAGCTGCAATTGCGAGGTGACTCTCATCTTTAGGGATAGTCGCGACGGGAAGGCTATATCATCCCGAGGACGTTGAGATTTACGCCGGCATACCGATTCAGGCATTGCCGAGGTTTACCGGGCGTCGGCTTAACCGGGAACATTGCGGCATGCCTATTCAAACGGAGGAGAAGAACTGACTTTCCACAGACGTCTCAATTGCGACTATACAACATAAATAGCCAAACCGACATCGCTCGTCGAACATTGAGTTAGAGAAAGGTAAGTTGAAGAAACATGCGAGAGGCATGCACACAAGTCAGTTCCATCTGAAAACGAAAATTATCAGTGGCGTGGGCCTGGAAGCTGCAACGTTGTGTGCTCGTTGCTGAGTGGGCAGCGCGGGTTGATAACCGAGCTGAAGATGCTCAGATTCACTGTTTAGGAACGCCAATGAATACAAAATAGTCCGTCGTTCTTCATCTTAGATGCCATTCTCGGCAACAAAGTGGCATCGATTGTTCGATTCTACCAAAATTGCGAATAAAATCCTGCGTCGAATGCCAATTTGGTGGTAGACAGCGAGTGAAGCAGACTTGGCTGGCAATGGTCTAAATCAAGCGAGGCCCAAATGATCTTCTGGTCTCGGCGCCTGTGAAAGCTGCACGCGTTCAAGAAGATCTTGTTCCACACAAGTCGCAGGAAGTTTACCTCGCCATTTAGTCCTCAACAACACAGGATACTAGTATAGGGGACAGTACGTAATCTGAACTTGGAATCGGTCAATATGCAGCGGGTTTCGTGAGGTCTAAACAATAAAGCATAGTGAATGGCATGAAACAAGATTTTTTGGCTGCTAACCAACAAGACGTCTGCGTGCTAGGGGAACTCAGATAGGAACCTAGCCGACGGCCGCCGCCGGCATCGCAACATAGACATGCGCAGTATCAAACCCAAGTTTCGCCTCGCAGGCTGTGGCAGTGTAGTCCAATACGTGTCTAAGTAGGTGCGATGTGGCTGATATCTCAGTGCAACAAGACATCCCCTCGTCCTCTTGACTCGAGCGGAAGATTGAATCGGCCATGACCGAGTTTATCTGGTGCATTAACAGGGACGTCAGGTCATCAGCGTACTGGAGTCGCATTAGAAGCGGACAGTCCGGAGACGAGATGGAGATCTCACGGGCCGCAGAACACTCCCCTCCTCCATTCCTGAAACAGCTAGCTCGATGGCCAAGCTCTCCGTGGGGGTCTTACCAGCGCTAATCCTAGCACGGCTAGATATTTGGCCAAGACGCTTACCGACTTTGCCAGTGGCTTGGCATCTGGGGAGCCCCTTTCCGTAGATCGGATGGCGACGCAGCAAGCTTC